GATGATGATGATGATGATGATGATGATGATGATGATGATGATGATGATGATGATGATGGTGATGATGATGATGATGATGATGATGATGATGATGATGATGATGATGATGATGCTGCTTTTTTGTTCATCCCGTTTACGACGTGTCGACACTGCGGGGAAAGTCTGGATGATGGATGCAAGCTGCTAGCCCTGAGCCCGCACAGAAAAGTACGTATACATTGCAATTGGAACGGGAAGCTGTCGTACGTGTTTCAGAAAAAAAACATTGTTCTGGTAAGTGCAGCATGCCGGCCAGTACCGGACTTAAGAGGTGGAGGAGGAGGAGGAGGCGGAGGAGGAGGAGGAGGAGGAGGTGGGAGGAGGAGGAGGAGGAGGAGGAGGAGGAAGAGAGTGATGGGGGGGGGGTGGAGCAGGGGGAGCCCTGAGATCCGACGACGCGAATCTGTAAAAGTTGCAGCGTCGTGAAAAACCACGACCAGAAGCCTGGCCCGATTTTTCTGAGTCATTTCTCGAGCCCGATCGACCTGTCAGGGTTCTGGGGCCCGGAACTGGGCGAACACGCCCGGCTCGAAAAGATCGAGAGGCCAGAATCTCAGGGAGGGGGAACGAGGGGGAGGAGGCGGAGGAGGAGGAGGAGGGGGTGGGGGAAGGGGGTGGGGTGGGGAAGGGTTGGGGGTGGGGGGTTCGGCGTACGAGGAGCAGTTGGAGCGCGTAGGTTCCGCAGAGGCTCTGCAGGGACCCCAAGCGCAGCCGCAGGCGCGCCGCGCGCCACGCCCGCCCCGCAGGGAGGGGGCCGGCGGACTCACACTATATACGTCCATGCGCCGCCCCTAGCGAGCGCCCGGCGCGCCCGATCGGCTCGGGCCAGGCCCGCCCTGAGATCCGACGTTGCGGACAAAATCACGACCGGAGCCTTGCACCCCATCTCTCTGCGGCATGATTACAGCCGCGCTGTTGTGAACACGTGGATCGAAATTGGTCGAAATCGTCGATGTTAAGAAATATTCGGAGGAGCGCCAACAATACACCACCACCAACCCTGGCCTGGCCCATCCTGGGCCTTGGACTGGTGTATAGACCTCCAGGCCTCGGCCAGGAGGGCTTGTACACCAGTCCAGGGCCTAGGATGGGCCTGGCCAGGGCTGGTGGTGGTGTATCGCTTGGAGCTCTCCCCCAAAATGGCAACGCCAGGATCTCAGGGCCCGGTCGCTGGCGGCAGCGCGGGGGGGCGGCCGCGCCGGGGCGGCCGCGCCGGCGGCTCGCGGGGGGCCGGTGGCGGCCAGGGAGCGGCGGCCGCCGGCGGGCGCACCGCCGGGACCCGATCCTGGGCGGCTGGCCAGACACCTTCCCAGAGTTCCGACGCTCCCACAACATTACGGGGGTGACAAAAACTCGTTTTTTTTCACCCCCGGGTTTTTGTTCACCCCCGCACTCTTGACCTCTTGCTGCCTTGCTCGCGCGCTGCACGGCACGCGCGTGGCACACCGCAGCCTTTTGGCCCAGAAGAGGACCTAGGACCTAGAGTCCGAACCGCGTCGCCAGCTAAAAGTGGTTGAGATCGGTAATGCACCAAGTGCGGGTGGTTTTTAGTTACCTGTTTTCGGCCTCCGGGAGCCCTCGCTGGGCCTCGGGACCGTCAAAACACGACTCAGGACGAATAACCAGCCGTGGGGAAGTGGTCTGGACTTCTGGGGCCCATGCATCGACAAAAACTGGTGCGTCCAGATGTCTGGGTTCACATCGCCTGCTGGCCAGCGCGCGGGCGTCGTGGGCGAGAAGTGTAACTACATCTGTGTCCGCGGCCCTGCGGGCGGGGCCCCTGGCCCGCGATCCCGCGGAGACGGGCGATTTTTCGCGGATGCCCCGTGCGGGACATTTGTGCGACCGCGTATCCGCGGGTTCGCGCCCCGGAATCCAGACCACGGGGGCGCGGATGCAGATATGTTCGCCGCTCGTCAGGGCAGCAACGGCCGCTGGCTTGGGCGCCGCCGGGATCGGATCCTTGGATGTCTCGGAAGTTGCCAGTGGTGATCCTTGTCACTTGTCCTAGGCGCCCTCAAGTTTTCCCGCTCCGTTTTCGAGCCCCTTGGTCCCACTTGGCCTCGTGATGGGGTGCTTTGGATGCCGCCTGGGCCTCTCCTGGGAAGCTGGAGTCACGCTGAGGGTCACATCTGGATCATTTGCCCCATCTCATCCCTGCCTCGCTCCCCCCAGGAGGAGGAGGAGGAGGAGGAGGAGGAGGAGGAGGAGGAGGAGGAGGAGGAGGAGGAGGAGGAGGAGGGGAGCAGACCCAATGCAGACCTGGGCGGTTTGGGTTTTTTCTCTAAAACATACAACGCGACGCCGAAACTGTACACGGGCGGCCGCAGTCCGCGCTCTCTGCACGCAGGCGGGCTGCACGTCTGAATAACTCGCTCACGGCACGCGGTCTCTCTCCGCACGAATGGACGCACCAAACTCCTGAAACAGGTCATTGCCTGATCTCCGCATGCGCCACACCCAGGCCCACGAAGTGTGCAGGCTATCTGGGATGCCGCCGCGCATCTCAGGCCATGGGCCGTCGCAACACTGGGTGCCTTTCTTCAGAAAAAAGAAGTTTCAGTGCGCCCATTCGGGCGCACGACGCGCACGCGGTCGGCCACGGCCCACTGCCCCGCATCGTGGGAGACGATGCCGTGCGACAGCTTCAAATGCTTATAATGAGCATGAAACCGTTCTGCACTGAAGCGAGGAAGGCTCGTTCTTGTCGCTGTACGCTGTGCGACTTTTCGGAGCCACAGATTTGTATGCGCCTGCGCCGTCAGTTAAAGGGTGAAATTGCCAGGGACGAGGACCCAGGAAAGGATCTCGTCACATTCCTCCCCACTGAGCGATACGCCGCTCCCCCAGCAACACACGTGCGCTGGGGCAGCTCGAAAAGCATCGCGAGGTGCCGCTGCCCCCGAGGCAACACGCACATAAATCGGTGATGCGATGTACGATATCGCCCAAAGGGGTGTTCACCGCACGTCTTATCTGAACAATCCGACGGGCTAGGCACGCGACAAGCGCGCATTGCCGCCTCGTCGGCCTCCAGAAGGCATCCGCGAGGCCATTTGAAGTGATCTTGCTCGGCCTGGGCAACGCGATCGCAAATGCCCCTCACTACGGTGGCAATGCGCTGGGCTGCGTTCCTTGATATTCCAACCTGCACCGCCAGCTCGTCCGACGACTCGTAGCCCGAGGCATGCTTGTTTGCCGCGTGGGCGATAGCGAGCAGCGTGCGGGTGGTATTCACAGAGCCTAGGTTGAACAATCCCTTCAACGGGCCCGTCGGATCCAGGTTCGACTCGCGCTTCTGGCACGCCCAGTTGGAACAGCGCCAAACAACAGGATAGTCCATCTGAGGGATACTGAAGCCCGCGACCTCGACCTCCGTATCAGACTGGCTCTTCCGAAGATGCAGCTCCATGGTGCCGCACGTGCGCGCCTTGCACTCGCCCTCCACGTTTGGCAGCACACCGATCTCAATCATGATGCGCGCGAGGAGCTCTGGACTGATTCGCTCCATGTCGATCACTGCAATCCGCTGGGAAATAGGCAGCGCAGCTGTGCGAGGCCGATCATCCAGCTTCTGCTTCGGGGGGACGTATGAAGAACCAGGGGCCTCTTTCTTAGATTGCGCCCTGCCCTTCTTCATCATGGGCTTCTTGCTGAAACGACTCCCCTTCGCCAGTGACACCCTGCGCGTGCCGGAGAGCTTCTTCGAATGCAGCGCTGCGCGAGCTGGCTTCTTCAAAACAGCCTGCTGCACTCGGTGCGCGCGCTTGTGCTTGTCCGCCTGGGAAGCCTTGCCGCCGTGAGGCATGACTTGCACAATGAGGGGGAGAAGTGGTGACCGAAATGTAATTTCACGCCACTGCTTGAGCCAGCGTGCTACGGAGTGTGCAACGTTGCTCACAAAGGAGTGCCCTGCAAATGTGGAGTTGAACAATGGAGAACGTGGCTGCGAAAAAAATAGCCTGGCGAAGGGCCCAGCCATATTCAGTTGTGAGTACCGCAATTGTGAATATCTTCTTCGGTGGCGCTCCCTATGGGGCCACGAACCGTATGAAGGTGTGCTCCGAATTGCGTGGCGGGTTACACAACACGAACGAAGACGATAGGTCTAATAACGAGAGACTGAGCGTGGGTGAGTCTGAGCGTGAGTCTGATTGTGAATGAGTCTGCGGACCGAGTGCGTATATTCGCATGAATGCGAGCACGGCCACGCCTGGTGTGTGTATATGTATACATATGAATGTGAATGGTTCACGTATGCCTGACCCTGAGTACTCGTGACACTGAGCGTGGCCGCCGCAGGAAGCTTCCCCAGGAACCCCCCCCGACAGCAACGCCCGCGCGCCGCGACGCCCATGTCGGCACGCACCTCTCGAGGATCGCGCCCGCTTCCTTCCCGTTCTTTTTCTTCCTTTTTGCCCGTGCACGCCCATGTTCGAGGCTGCGGGCGCGGCGCCGCACGGAGTCCCCGCGACGCGCGTTGGTCGCCCCGGAGGGGTCCCGGCGACGCGCGCGGGTCGTCCGCTGCGCGGAGCAGAGAGAGCTTGCTGGCTGGCCGATAGCGGGCAAGGCTTGGCGCTGGGCAGATCGACGACGGTGGCGAGCGAGGCTCTGGGCAGAGCGCAGCGCGGAATTCCCGCGACGCGCGCCGGTCGCTTCGAGAGGGTCCAAGCGACGCGCGCGGGTCGTCTGCAGCGCGAGGCCGAACAGTCAGACCGTCGAGACACGGCGAGGCTCGGGCGGGCCGCTCCTCAGGTCAAGCCTCGCGGATAAACTCGGTGAAGCTCAGCTCCCTGGCGAGGGCCGCCGCCTCCCTCCTGCACCGCTTCGCGGTGGATTAGATGCCTTCTGCGTGGAGGGAGGGCGAGGGCGACTGGAGGAGGAGCCCAGCGAGGAGATGGTGAGGTGCTTTCTGCGTGGAGGGAGACTGAGGGCGACGGGAGGGGGAACCCAGGGAGGAGATGGCGAGGTACCACGGCGGTCTGGCGCTAGTGGCGCTGTGTGCCTCCTGCCGCGGCTCCCTGGCGCTCGAGGACGACCCATCCGCGGCGCGGATTGTCGTCGCCGCCGCTGCCGCCCTTCTTGCCCGAGAGGGGCCCCGGGCTTAGGCCTCTGAGGTGGCCCAGCATTGGTTCTGGTGAGCAGGGAGGGGGGGAAGAGTTCCGAAGTTCTGGGTTCGAGAAGATTATCTGCTTCTTTCGAACTCTGGGGCCCAGTTTCGGGCCCTGGGATCCTCAGAAACGGATCTGGGGTGACTGGGTCCGGAAACCGATTTTCAACGGATTTGGCTTCGTCCCTTCCTCGTGGCTGATGTTCTCGTGTCCTGACCAGTTCAGACCCCACGCCGCCTCCAATTCAGCACCTCCGCCGTGGACAGGTCGAGGTTCTTGGTTCCAGGAAACTCCTCGTCGCCACGGCCGGATTCCCGTCGGACTCAGGAACTGTCCGGGGGACGATATTTGGTTCCTGTTGCCAGCCTGAAGCATCTATTGGCATCACCCTCCCCCGATACCGATCTTACGTGAGGATTACCTCAGTTTCTGAGGGAGCATCCGATTGTCATCGCCTTTGGGCTTGTCTATCGGAGGGATAGGGATAAACCCGAGGCTGGTTATCCCGGGGTCGCCACCCCAAATGTCAGGCCAAACGGGTCGCTCGTCTCTCGAGGCGGGCGGCTTCGCAGGGAGCAGGGAAGGCCCGGAGGGATCTGTGAGGGGGGGACCTTGCGACGGGAACTGCGCTGAGGAGGGCGCGTTTGACCACGCACGCGGGCGTGTTGCTGTATCGCTGCTGCATCTTTGGTTTGCTCGGGTCCTCCTGCTCCCTCTTCCTCCTGCTCCTCCCCCTCCCTCTCTTCTTGCTGCTGCTCTTCCTTCTCCGTGCTCCCTTCTCCCGCCTCCTCCTCCGCTCCCTCCTCCCAGCCCTCCCTCCTCTTCGACTCGCCCCTCCTCATTGAAAGTACCTGGTCTTGTTGAGCACGTCATTATAGTCCTTTCGCCCCCTTCTCTTTTTCTTCGGACATTCTCCTGCTCCTCTTGCAGCTGCTCCCCCCGCCCTGCTTACTCCTCTCTCCTCCTTCCTCTGTCCTCCGTCCATTCTCTTCCCTTCTTCCTTCTCCCTCCTGCGTCCTGAACTTTCCTGCGGGTTCCCCCATTCATCCCCCCCTTCGTCTCCTCCGCTCCCCCCCATCTCCATCTAGCTTTGGCTTTTTCTCTGGCCTGCTGCTGCAGCCGCTTCCCCGTCATCGCGTCCAGGGCACCGCTGGCGATGCAGCGGTGGACCTGTGCCACCTCGGCCTCAGCAGGTGCATTCTGGGCAGGCCTCCACGGGTGCGCGGGCCCTCCTTCTTTTAGGGGCCTCATCTTTTTCTGGCTTCCCGCCCCGTAGTGGCCCGTAGTGTGTGCGAAGTTCTGCTGGTCTTCCTGCCCCCCCACCAACTTCCCCAGCAGTGGTGGCTTTCAGCATGTTCTGCCATGCCCCACTTTCCCCGTCGCTACCCGTGCCCGGCACAACGTGCTACCCACATAAGAGGTTAGTGGCGGCTTACCAAAAGGAACCTGCTACTGCTCGAACGGCTCTGCCAATCGTCATCAAGGTGCAGATGGTTGCTCTCGCAACCCCCATCCACCCATGGGGACCTGCCAACCCTAATGGAGGAGTGCCCTCTTCGAGTACTCCTCCCTCCTCCCTCCTCCTGCTCCTTTCTCCCTCCTCTTTCCCCTTTCGCCTCCTCGTTTCTCGCCTCATAGTCATCGTCGTGCTTCTCCTCGGTGCCTGCGCTGACAACTCGATGGCGAGGCGATGCCTGCGCCAAATTACTTGACGCGCCTGCGGTGCCTGCGTCCAGCCATGCGCAGCGCCTGCGCTGATGAAGCGACAGCGCCCGCGGCGCGCGTGTTAGCGCCGCCATGGCGAGGCGATGCTGGCGCCCTAATATTTGCTGCGTCTGCAGTGCCTGCGCCGAGTCGCGCGCTCTGAGCCCTGGGCATGGGCGGGAGCGGAATGGAGAGGTGGTTGGACCGCGTGTCCTCGGCGCGACGTCGCTGGTCTTGCGCGGGGCAGGCGGCAGCCGCTTGAGCGCGGAAGGCATCGGGGACCAGCGCTCGAGAGGTCGTCTTTGCGCTGGTTCACCGGCGCGCCCGCCTCACCTGCCAGGTCGCGGAGCTTGGACAAGGCGCCCTGTTTCTGTTTTTGGCGGACATTCGGTGTCGGAATATGGAAATCAGGATTGAGCCAAAGTGGCTGCGGACGACATCCGTCTGCTGCGTAGATGACGGCGGCGGCGGCGACGAGGCAACCCTTGTGGCCCCGAGTGCGACCATCTAAGACATTTCGTTCCGTCGCGAGGAGCGGGTCCCGCTAGGGTGTCTTCGTTTTGTCTGGTTAGTAATATGACGTTGGGAAGCGCCTGGCCAGGCGTATGTTTTTTTTTACGCCTCACATCGATGCCGCCATGCTCCTACTCTTGCCACGGACGCGCCGTGGGCCAGATCAAGAACTTGCTTCTTCCTACGCGCGGGGTTGTGTGCGCGCGAACCTCCGCCGCCGCCGCTCTGCGTTGGCCGCTCGAAATTTCGAGGCCTCGTTCAGTGGCTCAACCGCCCCCCCCGCGCTCGCCCCCGCAGAGGGTGCGACGCACCGTCTGGGGCGATGGCGCCGCTGCAATGTAAGATTCGCGCCGCGCCTGCTAGGTCACGGAGCCCAGACGGGGTGGCTGACATTCGGCATCGGAATATGGACATCAGAATTGAGCCAAAATGGCCACGGACGGCATCGGTGTGGATGCGGGTAAGACGGCGACGGTGGCGATGGCGACGAGGCAACCCTTGCGGCCGCGATCGCGACCGTCTACATTGCGCCCCGTCGCGCGGTTCGCCCCCAGTGGGGCACCCCTTGTTCGTGCGGATAATCGGGTGACATGGGGGAACGTCTGGCCAGGCGTGCGCCCATTTTACCTATCGGTGTCGCCATGTTTCCATGCCTGTCGCGGACTCGCCACGGGCCAGATCAGGAAGTTAATTCCGACTGCGCGCGAGGTGATGGGAGCGAGCCTCCGCTGCCGCGGCCCTGCGTTGCTCGCTCGAGCTGTCGGGGCCTCGCCGGGCGGTTCAACCGCCCCCCCGGCCGATCCTGCCCGCTCCGCGCTCGCCCCCGCAGAGGGCGCGACGCCCTGATCGGGGCCGCGGCGCTGATGCAGCGCAGAGATTCGCCCGCGCTCCGCCGCCCCCCCGCCCTGAGCGTGGATGGTATAATAGCCCCAAACGGGGTGGCGTGCCCGCGCCGCTCGATGAAAATCAAAGTATGGCGTGCCTGCGCTGGTTCCTGCGATGGCGGGGCGGCGCCTGCGCCTTGCCATTGGGCGCACCGGACGCGCCTGCGCCTTGGGCGGCGCCCGCGCCGATGAATGGCAGTGCCCGCGGTGCCTGCGCTAACGGCGCGACGGCGAGGAGATGCCTGCGCCGCGTTCTTTGACGCGCCCACGGTGCCCGCGCCTGGCTGCGCGCGGCGCCCGTGCGGGCCCCCGCGGCGCCCTCGCCGACAATTCGGTGGCGACGCGATACCCGCGCCGAATCATGTCGCGCATCCGCGGCGCCTGCGCCGAGCCGCGCGTGGCGCCTGCGCCGATGAAGCCACGGCGCCCGTGGCGCGCGCGATGGCGCCGCCGTGGTTGGGCGATGCCTGCGCCTTATTCTGTGAGGCGCCTGCGGTGCCTGCGCCGAGTCGCGCGCCCTGGGCCCCGGGGGGCACTGGCGGGGGCGGAACGGGGCGGTGGTTGATCCGCGTGTCCTCGGCGCGACGTCGCTGGTCTTGTGCGGGGCAGGCAGCGGCCGCCTGGGCGCGGAAAGCTTCAGGGGCCCGCGTTCGGGAGATCGCTCTTGAGCCGGTTCGTTGGCGCTGCCGCTTCGCCTGCCAGGTCGCGGAGCCCGGACAGGGCGCCCCGTTATCTGTCTCTGGCTGGCATGCGGCATCGTAGTGTGGAGATCAGGATGGAGCCAAAAGGGCCACGGACGACGCCCATGTGGATGCGGGAAAGATGGCGGCGGTGGCGATGGCGACGAGGCGTCCGCGATCGCGACCGTCTGCGTTGCGCCACCCCGTCGCGCGGTCCGCCCCCAGTGGGGCACCCCTTGTTCGTGCGGGTAGTCAGGTGACATGGGGGAACGCCGGGCCAGGCGCGTGCCCAGTTACTTGTCATATCGGTGTCGCCATGTTCCTCTCCATGCCTGTCACGGACGCGCCACGGGCCAGATCAGGCACTAGCCCCAGCCTGCGCGCGAGGTGATGTGAGCGAGCCTCCGCCGCCCGGGCGCGGCAAGCATCGGGGGCCCGCGCTCGAGAGATCGACCTTGAGCCTGTTCGCCGCCGCGCCCTCCTCGCCTGCCAGGTCGCGGAGCCTGGGCAGGGCGCTCAGTTTTTGTGTCTTTGGCTGACGTTCTGCATCGGAATATGGGAACCAGGGTCGAGCCCAAATGGCCGCGGACGGCGTCCACGTGGATGCGAGGATGGCGGCGACGGCAGCGGTGGCGATGGTGACGAGGCAGCCCTTGCGGCCGTGGTCGCGATCATCTACGCTGCGCCCGGTCACACGAATCGGCTCCCGGTAGGGCATGCCTGTTTCGTCTGGATACTGAGGTGAATTTGGGGAACGCCTGGACGGACAGTTTTCCCATGGGAGCTCATTTGTGAGGTGCGGGATGCAAGTGGAGGCGTTGCCTTCGCGTCGTTTCGGCACCGGGGCGCCCGCTCCCCTGCGGAGCAGGGCCCGATCCGCTCGCAGGTGATGAATCGGCTGCGGCCCGACCAGTCCATGACAACAGCGCACGCCACAGCGTGGCTCGAACGGAGGCTGGAGAAGTTCAGCTCGCAGGACATGCGGTCCCACGCATTTCCTTGGCCGATCTGGGGCGACTGCCAGTGTGCAGTTGGCGAAGCAGAAGTACGACGGCGCTGATTTCGGGTAGGTACTGTTCGGGAAGGAGACCACGTACTCACATATTTGTGTGAGCGACTTTTGCGGGGGCTTGCCCGCTGGGGAGGGCGCGCGGAATTGGGGGCCGAAAGATGAGAACGGCTCGCTCTCTACTGCTGGGCTTTCACCTGCCGCCCTGAGAAAGAGAAAGAGCGTGATTCGCTTCGGAACGGTTTTGTTTCCTATCGGATGCCACGCAGTTGTTTGTGTTGAAGCGGCGCCTGGTCTCCAGTCTCGGCGGTCGCCTCCTTCACATTGCCCAGATCGAAGGGGGTGAGTGGGGGTCAGTGGGGGTGGGTCGGTGGGTACGTGTGCAGGGATGCGTGTGGGTGGGGGTGGCTGGGCCCTTTTGCGCTTGCTTTTTCAGTCGCTCAGAGCTTGCCCAGTGTGTGCGCGGCCGACTTTCAGTGTGTGTGTGTGTGTGTGTTTGTGTGTGTGTGTGTGTGTGTTGGCAGCCTCGCTGGGCAGTGGCGGCTCGTCGTAGCGTTTGGAGGAGGCGTTCGAACTCAGGACCTATACTTTTTGGAGGTCTGATCTTGTAACTCGTTTGACTGTTTGCACCCGTGGCAGGAGTCCTTCCTCTACATTCCTTCCCTGTCCCCTCAATTGTTTGGCCTCCCCTCTACTCTGTCTCCTCTGCCCGCTTCGCGCTATCTTGATGATTACTTACTGTTTGCGTGCTTTCCGGCGTGGGGGAACGAACACATCTCCAAAAACATCGCATCCAACAGCCTGAGCGGGCGGTGCGCATAGTTCATCTAGATCAACCAGAAGGGCGCGGAAATGACCGCATTTCGCAGTGAACGATTTCGGCTAGAGAGGTGTTGTCCACGCGCGGCGCGATAATGCGGAGATGCGCGCGCTTCGCGCGGCGTGAAGCGGGAAGTTAGGGGATGTGGCCGATTTCGGAATGCTCGCCGCAGATAGGTGGCACGCGTTGCCCGTTCCCTTGTTGTACCTTGACGCATGCAATGCAAATGACACGTCAGCGGTCATGACGTTGCCTCTATTCGTGCCCCTTGGATTACCGAGCGCGCGCTGCAACCAGTCGAAGAGCCACACTCTGTTCTAACATGCCGGGGCTTTCATCAAGCACGTGTGAAACATGCATGGGGCAAGGGATTTCCTCTCCTCCCCTCCAACCTCCCCTCTATTCGCGACGAATCCTGCCAACCTGTGTGCTCTCTCTCCACTGGCTTAGTGTTTGCCCGCGGGCTCCACGGGTCCTCCGCCCCCGCCTCTTGCAGAGCCGTGCCGCGGGCCGCCCCGCGTGCCCGTGCCGCGGCCGAGAGCCCTCCCATGGGAGGGGCCCCGCGCCGACATGCTCTCCCGTGGGCCGCGGCACTGCCCCGCGGCGCTCCCACTAGGGGGCCACATGCGAACCCTACCCCTGCCCCCTACGATTTTTGAGGGGGAGGGTGGGGTTCTCGGGAGCTCCCGAGCGAAGTGAACCCCACCCTCCCCCTCGGAAATCGTGGGGGGTAGGGGTAGGGTTCGCATGTGGCCCCCTATCCCACCCCAGCGTTCCCTGCCCCCATTCTGCGCTTCCCGCTGCTCCCCCGGCGGACGCGTTTCCTTCGCCATGCTGTCCAGCTGGCGCCCGAGCCACGGAGCGTCCCACCGACGCCGATCAAAGGCCTGTCATGTGGGCCGCCGATTGGAAGACCTTGTCGAGCTCCAGGCTTCGCTTGGGGTCCCAAGCCAGCACAGCCTCCAGGAAACTGCCTGACGGCATTGGAGACGCCTTGTGTCCCAAAGGACGCGCGCTTCGCCGCGTGCCGGGTCGCGTGCCGTGCCACGGTCGAGGGCCCTACTGGTGCAGGCCCCCCTGTTGAGTGCCCGCCCGAAGGCCATGCATCGCCCCGCGGCCCTCTCACCCCAGCGCTCCCTGTCTCCGTGTTCACCTTTCTTTGCTTCCGAACCCGAAGTCCGGTCAGCGCTTACGAGAAAGCCTCGACTCGCGGGAGCGGTGTGCACTGCAGCTCCCTAGCAGCTCCGAGAGGATGTGGCCTGACTGCCCCAGCCGCGTGACCAATCAAGATCATCATGTCAGGCGCCGTGGAATTTCAGGTGGCCACTCTGTACAATCAGCCCGCAGCCCGCCCAGGGACCAGGCCCCGTACAGCTCAGGTGCACAGCTCGCGACACCATCCTCAAAAGGCCTGGGAGTAGGCGCTCTCTCTCCCCAGACATTTTTTGGTCTGCGGGGCGAGAGCGAACCTCTTCCGGTAAAAGCTAGGCGGGCTACGCACAGCTCTGATTGGGGAGACAGGGCACAGGCGGCGGGGCCTCTCTCTCCCCAGACATGCGGCGTCTTGATTTTCCCATTCGCGGTCCCCGTAAGTCCCGACCCCTTCCCCAGGGCAAGTTTTTTATCCTGAGTCGTTTTTTGACGGTCCCGGGGCGGGGCCCGGTGAGGGCCCCCGGAAGCCGAAGACAGCGAAAAACCTCCCGTCCCGTATTTTTCACGACGTGAGCATGTCTCGGTCGCCACTTGCGGATTCCAACCGTCCCCTATCCTCCACTAGGGGGCCACATGCGAACCCTACCCCTACCCCCCACGATTTCTGGGGGGAGGGTGGGGTTCACTTCGCTCGGGAGGTCCCGAACGAAGTGAACCCCACCCTCCCCCTCAGAAATCGTGGGCGGTAGGGGTAGGGTTCGCATGTGGCCCCCTATCCACCTCTCCCTCCCCTCCGACGGCTGCGAATCCTGACGGCAGCGGCGGCGGCGACCGCATGGCCCGCGGCCGCATGGGCGGCGCCCCCTGGTCGAGGTGCGCCGCCCCCATTCACCCTCCCCCCCGCCCCTCGCTGGGCCTCTCCACGGGGCCCATTTCGATCCGCTCGGTCCAATCTGACACCGATTTCGTCCAGGTCGGTGAGATTCGATCTCGGTTTCCCGCCGATCCGATGCGAGCCAACGCTTGCATGCCATCGTTGTGCCTCCTGGTGCAGCCGATCCATCCGTGCCGATGCGGTCCGATTCGGTGCAGATTCCGATTCGATCGACTTCCCGATTCGATGCTCACTGATCCTGCTTCAGGATGGCTTGTCCATGGTGCAGGTGGCCTCGGTGAGGGAGGCCTCGGCGAAGGAGGCGACGGCGAAGGCCGGCGGCTCTGCAGGGGGGCCACGCGCCGACGGGGGGGGGCGGCGGGCGGCGGCGGCGCCGTCGCCCTCGAGGTCTGTTGGGGCGCCCGGGCGGGGGCCGTCGTTGCCTCGCGGCCTGGCGCGGTTCGAGCTCGAGGCGGGGACTTAAACAACCAGCGTCTGGAGCATCGACTTTCGCGGAACTCCGAAGGCGGTGGGTATGGGTATGGGTATGGGTATGGGTATGGGTATGGGTATGGGTATGGGTATGGATATGGGTATACACACGTGTATACATATATATATATATATATATATATATATATAGATATATATGTATATATATATATATATATATATCTATATACACATATATATATGTATATATATATATATATCGGTCCCCGGGGTCTAAATAGTCGGCCCTGATTGGTAGGCCGACCATGCCAAATCGAGGGTGCCCTTGTGTCCTGTCTATCCCGACCTGTGCAACCCGCATGCCCTTTGGTGTTCTGGTCCCTCGCGCAGGAGGACGACCGCGCCCCGCGCTCCTTCGGCTGGCCCGCGTGGCCCTGGAGCCGGGCCGCCCGGCCGCCCGCGCAGCCCGCCGAGCAGGCGCCGCCGGCTGGCGCGCCAGGCACCGACGGCGACGGCGACGGCGGCGGCGGCGACGGCGTCGGCGTCTGCACGAGGACTACGACTACGACGACCACGAGAGCTCGGGAGAGGAGGAGAAGGAAGTTGGAGCCAGCTGGGGTCTGAGATGGCCCATCAGGCGTTTGGAGACCAGAACACAGACTAACCAGGACGTTGGCAAATCGGTGAAACGACACCCTTTCCTGCAAAGTCAGATTTGGTCGTCCAGTGCAGTTATTGTTTGCTGCACTGCAGTATTCGAGTCTTTGTTCAGGTCTGTAGGGATGGGCTTTGCAGGCTTTTAGGGCTTCGTCCCGGTTTATTCCGGGAATTTAGCAGTGCATTTTTTCCGTGGGAAGAGGTTCGAGGCTTTGGGCTCGAGAAGGTTTCCTTTTTTTCGGTCTGTGGGGGCCATTTTCGGGCTCGAGGACCGTCACAAAGGGATCCAGGGTGAACAACTGCACCAGATGGATCCCTGGAGGGGTTCTGGGCACCGATTTTGAGCGGATTTGCCTTTTGCCTTTCATCTCCACTCTTGCCGGATTGTCTCGGGGCCTGACCAGCTCAGAGCCCCTTGCCGCCTCCACAAACGAAGACGAAATTTCTTTCCCTCCCTGACCCTCCGAACTGTCTTCGGCATTGAAGGGTGCAGTGGCCTGCTCTCGGCACCGCCCAAACATACTAATACTATATGTGCGTCGGCCCCGCAAGGGCGACGCGCACGCCAAGAAATCTCCGAGGATACGCTCCGTGGCGGACGCTCTCGGGCCGTACCGATTGTGAAGCGAGATGCTACGATCTGGTTGTGCTAGATGTTCGGGTCGGACGCGCGCCTCCGAGGGCGGTACATAGCAATGGTATGTCCGTGTGCGTCCCATTCTCATGAGGCCAGGCTTTCGGGGTGAGTCTTTCTCGTTCAGGCAGCGCCGAGGGTCGACCTGGACTTGGTGAGCGCTTGAACGTTTGGGGGGGCCCTTCCCTTCCTCTGGCGGCGGCGAGAATTAAGACGAAGAAAAGCGGGACGGAGAAAAAGGGGCCCCTCCCCGTTCACATCCTCCTCCTCGCTCACATCCTCGTTCACATCCTCCTCGTTCGCATCCTCCTCCTCGCTCACATCCTCGGTCGCTCCTCCTCCTCGTTCACATCCTCCTCGCTCACCTCTCCTCCTCATTCCTCCCAGGAGGAAGAGGTGGAGGTCTCCAGAGACCCCGGGGGTCCCTAGAGACCCCGAGAACTTTTTGGTGCCTAAGGATGCACTCGGAGACATTACTTTTGGAACTTGTCGGAAGGTTCTGGTCATTCTTCGACGTTGAAGGCCCAATATAACAGGCAAACCTGGATGCTTGTTTGTCCCTCCTTCCTCCTCGACGAGGAGCCGCACCTCCGATGTTCAGATGTTTTCCAACGCGAGATCCCCAGAATCCCCAGCCCTTCCTTGGGCCCTAGCTGCTTTTTCATGGCCTTGGGCCCCGAGCAGGGCCCCTGGTGATCGACAGTGGCGCGAACAACCTTCGCCTCTACGGTCGATAACGTGATTAACAAACCCTTCCCGGAAAGCTGGGTCAGCTTTCCTAGCCAAGTCGCCGAAAAGCTTGTCTAGTTTTCGAGCACGCTCCTCCTCCTCCTCCCCCTCCTCCCCCTCCCCCTCCCCCTCCCCTGGTCCCCCTCCCCCACTGGAGGCCCAGGAAGGGCCAACACACGCAGGCAAGGGCTCCGTCCTCGGCCCTCGGAGCCTCGGAGTCCGACTCTCTGGCCTGGCCTCGGGATCCGCGAAGCCTGGCTCTGATCGAGCCCCAAATCCAAGACCTTCGAATTTCGATCCTCACTCCTCGTCCTCCTCCTTCTCCTCCGCCTCCTCCTCTTCCTCCTCCTCCTTCTCCTCTTCCTCCTCCTCCTCGTCCTCCTCCTCCTTCTCCTCATCCTCCCCTTCTTCTCCTCCTTCCGTCTTGCGCTGCGGTTCAGCTTTGCTGTGTTGATTTGAAGTGTTCGTGTGTGAGGTCATTCTGTGACCGAGGCGGAGGCGCAGGCCACGAAGTCGAAGCTCCAGAGTGCCACCAATGCCGCGCACGTCACCAGACTCGCCAGGAAAGCCGCCGACGCCTCCTCGGAGATCGCCCAGCGCAGGGCCGCGGAGGCCGCGAGCTGCGCTCGCCGTCGTCGTCGTCGTGTTGTCGTCGTCGTCGTCGTCGTCGTCGTCGTCGTCGTCGTCGTCGTCGTCGTCGGGGGGGTCGTCGTCGGGGAAGAAAGAGGTGGAGGTGGAGGAGGAGGATGAGGAGGTTAAGCTTAGGCGCTTCGGAGGTGGCTTCGACCGGCTGCCCGCAGAAGGAGACACCAAAAAGCAAACAGACAATGCCTCCTCGCGGGTGCAGTCCCCTGCCGCGCAAGGGACCATCCTGGCGCGCACTGCAGGGGAGGGGGGGGGAAGCAGCAAGGGAGAGCGCGACGAGGCCGCGCAGATGCGCCGCACCGGGAGGCTTCCCTGGCCTTCTCGCTGAGTGCTGTTGAGGGGCCGTTCCGCTTGGGGTGTAGTCAAGGGAGGAAAAGCCACTCCTACCCCCACACTTGGCGTTTAGTTACACGGCCCTGGGCTTTTACTCAACAGCCCTGGCCTGTTTAGTTCTTTTCTTGGGTGCGCTTACTAAGCGGCTTCGCAAGTCGGGTTGTTGTTCATTACGAGGTTTTTTTTATCTCTACGAATGGGGAGCGCGTCCGATCTGTCAACCCGATTGGTGGAACCTGGAACCTTGATTGTCTCGCCGTACAGTCGGCCACCCCGAGGTGGGGTTCAGGCAGAAACCAAGGAGCTGTGCGAGAGAGAGAGAGAGAGAGAGAGATGAAGAGAGGGAGGGCGAGGGAAGAAGAGGAGCGGAGGGAGACAAGGAAGGAGGAAGCGGGGCGGCGACTGGCGAAACCAGGTGCAGAGGGGATCCGAATTCGAGCGACGACGCACCAAATGCGCGCGGGGACCAGTACAACTGTTGCCGTGTACTATTGCGGCGCGTGGTCCGTGCTGTCAGAGCGTCTATGTGAGAAAGAGCGCGTTCTGTGGTCGCTTGGAGGGGTGGTGGTGGTGTGGTGGTGGTTTGTGGTGGTGGTGGTGGTGGTGGTGGTGGTGTGGTGGTTTGGTGGTGGTGTGGTGGTGGTTTGTGGTGGTGGTGGTGGTGATGGTGGGGTGTGGTCGTGGCGGTGGTTTGCGGAGGTGGTGCTGGTGGTGGTGGTGGTGGCGGTGGTGGTGGTGGTGGGTTAGTGGTGGTGGTGGTGGTGGTGGTGGTGGGTTATGCTGCTGGTAGTGGTGGTGGTTGTGTCGGTGGTGGTGGTGGTGTGGCAGATTGTGGTGCTGGTGGTGGTGGTGGTGGGTCTTTGTGGTGGTGGTGGTGATGGTGAGTTGTGGTGGTGGTGGTGGTGGTTGTGGTGGTGGTGGTGGCTGTGGTGCCTGTTGTGGTGGTTGTGTGGTGGGTTGGTGGTGGTGGTGGTTGAGGCGGTGGTGGTGGTAGTGGTGGTGGTGGTGGTAGTGGTGGTTATCGTCGCTGCGTCCCCGCCGGCGCCAGCGCCGGTGCTGCTGGCCGCTGCCAGCGCTGGCGCTGGCGCCAGGGGAGGGGGGGGGTTTGAACCCCCCCCCTCGAGGCCAGGGGGGGAGGGGGGTTTGAACCCCCCCCCCCCCCCCTTGGGCTGCCTCTGGTCATCGTCGCTGCGTCCCGGCCGTCGGCGGTGCTGGCTGCCACCGGCGCCGGCGCCAGGGGGGGTGGTGGTTCAACCCCCCCCCCTTTGGGAGGGGGGAGGGGTTCGGGAGGGGGGAGGTTATGGGGGGGAGGGGAGTCCCCCTGGTTTTGATCGACGGCGGCGAGAGTTGGGGGGGTGTTGGGGGGGGGGCCACCCCCTGGTTCGAAACGCGCCGCCGAATGTTCCCAAGGCAAGCGCCCGTGAAACGCGATCTCTCGTGAGTGAATTCAACGTGTCCAGGTTCGATGTTTCACCATCTTCTGTGCGCTTGTACGCCGTCTCCTCAAAAGAACCCAAAGTTTGTCCAGCCGCCGATTCGGAAGCCAATTCAGATTTTGTAGTTCGAGTGTCTGCTTCTCCCCCCCTGATACACAGTGCCCTGGCTTGTTTCATCTCCTTCGAAGTTATAGACGAGAGCCAAATTTCTGCAACAAGCAGCTTGGCATTTCACCACTATCCGTGCACAGTGGCTGGCTGGTGCAGGGCACCCTCACCAAAAAAAGAAATTAGTGAGTATCCGTCGCGTTCGAATTCTGTACCGCGTACTTCCTTTTACATTTTTCATCGCGATCCACTCCAGGGGCGCTCTGGTGACCGCTTCTGCGTCGTTTCCAATATTCAGCCTGCTTCGAATCTTTCCGCCGTGAGACCATGTAATGCCAATGTAATAACGTTACTCGCGAAGTCTAAGTGTCGGTCCAGCATCTTGCCGTACGCCTTGTCTCGTGAATTTCTCTCTGCATCTGGCTTTACACTAATCACCTTTTGACTACTGATCGTCGTTTGCAGCAACGACGGCTTTGAACAGAGCCGCTTCCAGCTGAAGGCATGCATTGAAGCACTCTGTGTCTTGATTCGGCATATCTCGCAGCATGGGTCTCCGTGGAACGCTGTGAGTTTTTGGCAATTGTGTCCTGCTCTTCCTCTTTCGTAGCATGCCATTCCAAGCTAAGATGGGAACGACATATTGGCCTCCGTGCGAACCTGTAAATAGGCCCACTGCGCTATTCGGGCGTGCATGCGTCGGATACACACTCGTCTTTGGCGATAGCAGCGGTCACACTCACAGGCGGCACACTGCACGACGCCATGCGCACAGGAAGGTTCAACAGTACAGTATCGGAGCTGTGTAAGCACGGCTTCTCCTTCTTCGTTTTCCCCATCTCTGCCCCGGGCCAGCAAGTGCAGAAGGAGGACGGGTCTTCGCCTGGGGCGCGGGGGTTGGGGGGCATTTGCTTCGTTCTGGTTGGTCGGGGCTCTGCTCGAGCTCACAGCGGCGCCTAGGAGACGGAGGAGGAGGCGGAGGAGGAGGAGGAGAAGGAGGAGTGTACTAATAACAGTGATTGTGGTGATGATGATGCTGATGCTGCTGCTGATGATGCTTATGATGCTGGTGATGCTGATGACGACGATGATGCTGCTGATGATGATGATGCTGATGATCATGTTGATGGCGCTGATTATGCTGCTGCTGATGATGAGGATGATGTTGATGATTATGATGATGATGAGCTGATACTGATGATGGCGATGTTGGTGTTGATGGTGATGGTGATGATGATGACGACGATGATGATGCTAACGGCGATGATGATGATGATGGTGATGTTGGTGCTGTTGTTGTTGATCATGAGGGTGATGCTGCTGACGACGATGATGATGCTGATTAGGATGTTGCTTCTGCTGATGATGCTGGTGATCGCGGTGCTGATGCTTCTGATGACGATGCTGATGATGCTGGCGATGCTGCTGATGATGGAGCGGATGTCGGTACTGATGCTCATGCGGATGCTAGTACGGCTGCTGTTGCTGCCGATGATGCTGATGCTGCTGATGATGATGCTGCTGGTGCTGATGATGCTGATTATGATGATGCTGATCATGATGCTGATGATGATAATGACGATGAGGATGCTGCTGCTGATGATGATGATGATGAGGATGAGGATGGTGATGATTATACTGATGTTGCTGATGATGATGGATGGTGATGCTGATGATGATGACATTGATGATGATGATGCTGATGATGATGCTGATGATGATGATGCTGATGCTGATGATGATGATGATGACGATGCGGCTGCTGCTGATGATGATGATGTTTATGATGATGATGATGCTGCTCCTGCTGATGATGATGATGATGATACTGATGATGATGATGATGATGATGATGATGATGATGATGATGATGTTGATGATGCTGCTGCTGCTGATGATGATGATGATGATGAGGATGATGATGATGTTGATGATGATGATGATGATGGTGGTGGTGGTTCTGGCGGTGGTGCTGAGGATGCTGATTCCTATTCTGATGCTGATGCTAATGCTGACGCTGATGCTGACGCTGATTGCAAGGATGAGGAGGAGGCGGAGAAGGATGAGGAGGGGGAGGGGGAGGAGGAGGAGGAGGAGGAGGAGGAGGAGGAGGAGGAGGAGGAGGAGGAGGAGGAGGAGGGGGCCCGTTGCCATTTTGGCTCAAGGCTAAACGCTGTGAAGTGCTATAGACGCCTGACAATCAGCGATTAGCTTTGGGGGTCTCCGTCGCCTAGCCCGAGTGAGGAGAGGGAGTGTTGCCTCCCTCATAATTCGCGCCGCTTCCATTTGCATCGCACCACGAGCCCCTTTGTCTCGCGGGTGCCTCTGACTCTTCAGAGGCGGAGATGAGCGGCAATGGTGCTCAGGTGGCCACACCAGCTCGTGCTGGCTCCGAGTCGGCTGCTGCCGGCGCCAACCTCCTCCGTGCATGGGACGCCGCACCGACCTTCCCCGACGACAATGGCGAGGAGGAGAGATTCGTATCGCCCCCAGGCCCTCCTCGGCATTCAGGGAAGAGGCACAAGGGCGACATGGCTGCTGTACGTTCCGATTTGGCTTCTGTGCGTGCTGACCTCGACAACTACCGCTCTGTACCTGACCTCACTTTCAAGACCGTGCCGGCCAACGTCTCGACTGTCTCAGACAATGTCGCAGCGTCCCTTGCCAACGTCAACGCATCCATGGCAAGCCTGCGTGAGTCGCTCTCGAAGGGACACCAGGACCTTCACAAGTATGCCGAGCAGCGCCTCAACGTCGTGGAGATCTCGCAGAAGGCCCCCGACGACCGAACCACCAACGCTGAGAAGGAAATCCGTGAGCTCCGCGCTGAGCTCGGCACCGTCATTAAGGAGCCCCTCCCATCAAGGCGTTCATCCCGGGCTCCACCTTCGATCGCGAGATCGACGCGGGCATCATCATCGTCAGGGGCAAGCTGCTGGTCACGGCCACGGCGGTGGCTGACGCCATTCGAGGATGGATGGAGGACTCTAACATCGCGGAGGACGACTGGCTCGTGGAGGGCGAGCGCACCAGCAAGAAGTATGCGATCAGGATCACCGGCACGAAGGCGCTGGCCGCGCGCAAGGTCGCGCAGGAGCTCGTCATCCTTCGTCTCCATCGGCCCCCAGACGGTGCTGGTGGTGTGTATCGGAGCTTCTCTGCGACCTCCACCGCTGGAGAGCGCTCAGACCTGTTCGTCGGCCCCGACAAGAACGCCTGTACCATCAAGTGCGAGACCAGCTGCAAAGCAGTGCGTCGTGCGCTGGAGGAGGCCTTCCCCACTAGGCGCTTCTTCACGGACAAACGCAAGGGCGATATTTCATCGAATTGGAGGTCTCTCATCAAAATCATTCCAGCCCCCACGAAGGATGTTCCCGAAGTGCAATGGGCGGCCGCCAACCTGGTGGCTGAAGGTATCCAGCAGAGCGAGAAAGAGTCAACTATGCAGAAGGCGATCGACTGACCAAGCCCGACCGTGTGGAGTTCCTAGCAACATCAGTGCCTTGTGGTACGGTACCTCTTCGTCCTTGGGTGCCTCATGATTCTCATTCTGCATCGTGACGTGGAACGCCCGAGCCCGATTCCATCACAACGAGAAGGTGCGACAGAAACCGATCCGCTTCTTACGTCGATTGCTCCATCGAGGCAGCATTGTGGCAATCCAGGAATCCCGCGGATCTGAGCGTGAGCTAAGCGGCCTGTTGCACCGTCTCAATCTTCTTTTTCAGCCCTCTTTCTCCTTCTCTGACTGCCCCGCCTCCGCCACCTCTAACCTCGTTGGTGCCAAGGGCGGCGTGCTCACGATTTTCCAGCTCTTTTACCCTTCAGCCGAGAGGCGGGAGAAATCCGGGCAGGAGCAGCCAACCGCCTCTTCCTCCACCCCCATCCCTGGACGTGCGATTTTCACGAAGTTCGAAACAGAGAACGGTCAGTGTTGGATTCGGCGCTTCGGCGTTCGCAATTTGGAGCCGCCCCCTGACGATCGACAGCACCTTCTAACCTCTATAAGTACCGCCATTTCCCAAGCCCAAGAAGATCCTCTCAACCGTATCGTGTTCGTCTCTGGTGACTTCAATCTCCCGTCCTTCGGATGGATCCCCCTCGGTGTTGATGAAGTGGCTGGCGATCGTGCCTCTGACCTCGAGGTTCGGCCTCTTCCTCGTGGGTGGCGGGGATCTCCCAAGGGCTCTGTGGAGTTCGAGCTGCCCACCCCCTCCATTTTAACGCTCGTGCTCGGAGCTTGTCGTTCATTGACAGGATATTGTCCTCGTTGCCTGGCTGGATCGTCTCTAAATTCGCGTCTGGTGGGGAGGTGGTAGACTTGCCCGAACTCCTGGCTGCCGAGAAGATTCCAGACCGCGCCGTGGTGGTGGTCGCGCTCAAGCTTCGACCCGAGCCCCCATCGGGGCAGCGGCCCATCCCGCAGGAAGTCTTCGGCATTTCAATCTTCCAGCAACACATGAAGCAGACGCTCGAGGCCGCTCCTCTTTCCCGCCTCTCTCCTCGTCTCTGCTTTGCTTGCGTGAGATCCACGATCCTGGTGTGTGCGCGGACGGCGAGAGACGCGTTGATTCTCAGGAACCCATCGCCCCCCTCGCCCGCAACCTCGTCGTTCGGAGCATGGCCCGCGCGGCGGTTCGCCAACAGCTGGGACTTGCCAAGGAGCTCATCCGATCTCATCCGCTCTGCCGCGAACACCTCAATATTGACTATGAGACGAAGACGATCTCCCTCATCTCGCCCATGCCCTTCACTCGCCTCTCGGATGAGCTCCACGGCGCGGCGGCCCGATCGCCCAGCTCTGCGATCGCTGCGGCTGCCAGGCAGCGCTCCGATCGAGCTCGCTCTGACAGGTTGGCGCGCCGCTCGAGGAGGGCCCAGCGCTTGGCGCGATGCTGGTCGCCGTTCGATCGGCGGACTCCCCTCGCTGGAGTCACGTAGGGCTGCTGATCAGATCGCTGTGCGCGCGCCAGCGAAGGTGCTGGAGGCGTTGGCTTCACATTGGGGCCATGTCTTCACGGAGAGGCCTTTCGACGCCGAGGGGGCCGAACGGTTCCCTGATGCTTGCCGCCCGAAGCTGCGTTGCTCCAATCCCCCCCCCCCCCCCCCCCCCCATTGTCAAACAGTTTGCGACGTTCCTCAAGAAACTCCAACGCAGTGCCCCTGGGCCCGACAGGATTCCCTATGCTGCGTGGCAGCGCACCCCTGGAGGAGCGGAGCTCCTTTGGGATTGCGCGCGCTGGGTTTTCGCTGGGAACTTCGTGCCCCCCGACTTCAACGCCGCGCTTGGAGTCTTTATTCCCGAGGGGGGCGAGCCTGATGGCCAGGGCGCGGGTATCTTCCGAGCGTGTGCCAATGCCCGTCCTCTTGGGCTTCAGAATTGCGTCAGCAAAATCATTGCCGCCATGGCCATCAAACCTGTTGCTTTCGCCCTCCCGATGGGGCCTCCGGGAGGCTCAGCGCGGGCTCGCCCCCTCTCGGAACTTCGGAAATAACGTCGTCGAATTTGACGCGGCTGGGCGCAGAGCGGGAATGGGGCCCCAGGGAAATTAAAAGTGCCCCTTCTGATCAGTTTCGATGTTGGCCAGGCCTTCCCCGCTATGTCTATCGACAACGGATGATTCAAACGTTCGAGCGGGCCCCCCCCTCCTTGCGTTTATCTGCCATCTACTGGCGCGCCTGCCTAGGGACCATTGGTGGTGAGCGGCGCTTTCTCTACTGGGTGGCGAGCGGGATCTCCCGGGGATGTCCAGCCAGCGGGGGTCTGCGCGCCATTGGCCCGGGCCCTTTTCCTATCAGGCTGCGCGGCAAGCTCGGGTCCCATCCAATCCCGGGGGCATCGCTCGTGCGCGCGCCGATGACACGGGAGCGGTGATCTACAGCATGGTGGATCTCTTCTACGTTTACCTCGTCTTCCTCGACGCCCCCCGCCTCGCCCACCTCTTCCTCGAGCCCTCCGAGTGCAAATCCCCCCCCCCCCCCCCTCCTCGGCTCCTTCAGCGAACCCTTCGCCGAGCTCTACCGCGCGCGCCTGAAGAGAAGCGCCCCCGAGTGGAGCGACTTCTCGATCGTCGGATCAGTTCTTTATCTAGGGATGTGGACTTGCCCCGAGGTTACTCCCTTTATTTCCTGGACGAAACCGTTTCGAAAATGCGTTGGTCGGGCTCGGGGGCTTTCTCGTCAGGGCGCCGCTGCCTAGGTTGCGGGTCTACTTTGCGACTCGAGAGTTCTTTCGGTGCTGTCGCGCGTGGGCCAGTTACAATCCCTTCCAGTTGTTCTCCAGGAGCAAGAGTTCAAGCTTCTCGCGAGCATCTTTAATGTGCCTTATTGCAGGCTGACGGCAGCCAGGCCGAACTTGGTTTCGTGGGGCGGGCCGAGAGTCAACTGTTTGAAGTTGATCAACTTGTCCCAGATGGCGAGGGCGAGCCCATTCACTTTCCCCAGTTGGTCTCGTGCATACCAGGCGTTATATGATATATGTTCAGAGGGGTATTATATTGCGCGTGCGGCTTCTGGTGCCCCGTGGCCTTCTTCTTGGCAATCCCCAGCATTCGCTGAAGCCTCCAATTGGTTCCCGTCAGACAAGATCGCCAACTCCGCCGCTATGCAGGCTATTCAACATGTATCCTCAGCGTCTTCTCCTTCGACAGTTAACCCCGTCGCGAGCGCCTGACAAAATGATGGACCAGTATCGGAAGAGACTTTTGGATTGACCCCCCCAAAGCTCGGTCGTGACCTGTTCGATCCAGTGGGATGATGTGCGTGCCCGGGTCCTCCTCCTTCCTCCCGCTTGGCGCTCCGCCGCGCTGAAAACTCTCTGCGGTGGTTGGCTTGCAGCCTCGGCCTTCCAGCAAGAGGGTCAGTGCTATTTGGGTTGCCCACACCCGTGTAACTTCCGTCATTTGTGGTGCTGCCCTCGCTTCTCTCTTTCCATCGCCTACTCCGCTCTGTTGTCGCTCCCCGAGTGCCCCGTCGCCCGTCTCGACCTCGCCGCTCCTCCTCGATCGCCCCTGCTTCCCGCCGTCCACGCCTTTTTTCTTCATCGTGAATTCGTCAAAGTTCCTGCTCCGATCAGCGAGCGCCGCCACAGGGAGGCTGTTCGGTGTGCGCGGCATCAGGCCGCCAGGCCTTCCGTTATGTGAACGAACTCGGCCCGCCTCGGGCACGCTCGAGGAGGAGGGGGGGGGATATGGGGGGGGCAGAAGGAACGTGAAGGTGGGGATGGACAAGCTAGGTGCCCACGCGTTTCATTTGACATCCTACCCCTCCCTCTCATCCCCCCCATTGCGCTGACTTGTTCTCTAGCCGCCCGCGGATGTCATAGCGGACTTGGAACACCCAGAAGCCCTCAGTCGTGTTCCGCGCAATTTGAGAAGGGGAGCTGTGCACATTGGATGGGGAGGTTGTGGATGCGCAGGAGGGTGGGCAGGACGAAGAGGAGACGGAATATGACAGATGAAGATTAAAAAGAGCTGCAACATCATAAGCACGATGAGTGGGGGGAGCATGCGGACCAGGGACAAACTGGGACGGGGGAAGGACGGTGACGATAACAATGAGGGACCGTTGGCATCCAGAAGTGTTGCCCGCGCTGGGGCGGGAGCGCCATTCTGAACGAAGGGAGCATAACACATAGCTGTTGTTGGATGTCAGGAAGTATTCGGACTTGGAATGCACGTGCGGTAAACCACTTCAGAGCACTGCTGCGTAGCCGAAACACATGGAATGGGGGCGCGCCGCTGTCAGGACGTTTTCGGGTGATAGGGGGGATCGAATTTCTATTGTGTCACTATGGAGGGGGAGGGAGGGGGGAGGGATGGGGACAAAGGACGAGGAGGGATGATGAGGGGCGTGAAGGCAGATGGGGGAGGGGGAAGGGGGTGAGGACAAGCTAGTTGCGCTAGCGTCGCATCTGACGTCGTACCCATCCCTCCCATCCTTCACCATGGCGTAGATCTGATATTTCTTCGCGCAGTCGGATGTCGAGCAGGGCAATGATTCCAAGAGGGTATGCGATGGATAAAAAGCATGGCGTAGAAAGGGCGTGGGGGAGCATAGCATGTCACAGCATGGCGTGGCATTGCGTAGTGAAGCATTGCATCGCAAAGCGTAGAAACGCAAAGCATGGCATCGCGCAGCGGTGCACAACGCAGCATCGCATTGCATGCCATGGCATGGCTTACCCATCTACGAAACGACAGGGCTTGTCCGGAATGCTGGTTCCATGTCCTCCGCAACCGTGCCTGCCCGATGTGGGCGCTTTCGAATGCCAGGTGCCGTCATGAGGCGCGGGAACGAGGCCAGCGCTGCAGCGGGAGCACGATTTTGAATGACCGAAGCGCGGAAATAAATGCGGCACTGCAGCGGGAACACCACCTCGGAAGAGCCAGAAACGACCGGATTGACACAACTCAGGAAAAGCCACATCATGAAACCCTGTGTGGAAAAAAAATACGCGGAGAGGACGGGAGACTCTCTAGACAGAGTCAGGGGAGAGAGGAGAGTAGTATTTCCATTGTAGGGGGGTGGGGGAGGGGAAAGGGGAGGAGGGGAGGGCGGGAATGAGGGAGGAATAATAGAAGAGGATGAGGAGGAGGAGGAGCGAGGGAGGGAGGAAAGGAGGGATGGATGGAGGAGGCGGAGGGGGGTCAGGATCAACGTCCGAGGGCCCAGGTTCTTGGATGGTCTTCGGGGAGGCTCATTGTCGCCGCGTCTGGCTCCCTTCTGAGATTCTGCTCCAAACGCACGCCTGTAAAAAATGACAGCTACCTTACCTTTGGGGGTGCCCTTCTGTTCTTCGTGTGTAGGCTTTCACTTTGGCGGTATTCGTTATGGGGGTCTCCATTTCGCCTTGGTCCCTCGGCGTGGGGGCTCATGTTCTCGATTGACGTTCTAGTGGCCATGTTTCGATTGCGCTCTCGGTCCGGCGCATGCAGCTCTTGTTTCCAACCCTCCTGTGTCGTGTCCTCGTTTTGAATTGAGCACTGTGGCAGCCATTCTCATGCTCCCCGTCCTCTTCCTCTCCTCTCCTCCGCGTGCTCCTCCTCCTCCTCCTTCTGCGCCTCTCCTCCTCCTCCTCCTCCTCCTCCTCCTCCTCCTCCTCCTCCTCCTCCTCCTCCTCCTCCTCCCCTCTTCTCCTGCTTTCTGCCTGTCTTGAGTGTACCTTTCATACTGGGAAGCTGCAAACTGCGCAACAGTTACCACTATCGTGGGCTGCCGGGAGGCACGGCAGAGATCAGGGCAGCGCAGATCACTTCGAGACCTCGCGGCTACTGTCGGGGGCTGTCGTGGGCTCCTGGGAGGCACGGCGGAGGCGAGGGCACTGCGCAACGGTCGCCGATAGTCTCGTGACCCAATTGTGTCCAGGTCGCGTTTGTCGGCCCTCCGCCGCTGTGTTTACATTTCTGGCGCAGTACACTATTCGCAGTAGCCCCCCAGGACCCCAGCCCCAAAATCTAGAACGTTCGAATACTTTCCAGGATCCTAAGCACCACTGTTGTCTCCATGCGGCGTAGCCTTGGCCCCCCCCCCCCCGCCTTGTCGGGCGAGGGAGCGTACTGAAAATGTGTCGCTGGCGCCCAGCGAACTTCAAGAAGGAAACGAAGGATGCGGGGACGACGTGAGAGAACAGAGGATGCATTCTGGGGGGACGACAGGGGGAGGAAACATGGGCCATCCTCCTCCGCATCCTGCTGGGGCTAGGAGGCTGTCTGACTGCGCATGTTCCCCGAGTTCTCCAGACGTCCAAAGAGCTTTCAGGGGGCTTCAGGAGTGCCAGCGGGGGCGAACCCAATGTTGACATGCATGACGCTTCGCGTATCCCCACCAGCCCATCCAGATTCAATCATCAGGCGAGTTGCCCTGATCATGTATCAGCATGCAGTCACGCTCTGCAGGCATCGTGGGGCTATCGTGGGTTCCTCTTCGGGCCCTCTTGGTGCCATGTTGGAGAATTTCTAGCTCTTCTTGGGCCCTCTTGGGGCTTTCTTGGGGCCCTCTTGGGAACCTTGCCAGGCCTCTTGGGGCCATCTTGGGTGTCATCGATCGAAAAGGAGAGCTGCGCGGATTAGCGTCCCTCCTGCCTCTCGGGGCTGGGCTCTCTTGGGGCGGTCTTGGGGCGCTCTTGGGTCCCTCTTTGGTCCCTCTTGGAGGTCTCTTAGGCCATCGTGGAGCCATCATCTTGAGGCCCCAAGAGCCCATCGGCAGCGAAAAACCGAGAAGACACAAGCTATGAGTTTGGCCTTTGGGGGTGGTCCTTGGGAGGCTCCGTGATCACCTGGAGCCGTATTGGGACGGTCATGGCGCCTCTTTGAGGCATGTTGGAAGCTATCTTGCGTCATCTTAGGCTGTCTTGTGCGATCGTGGAGACCACCTTGGGCCATCTTGGGCCCTCTTGGGGCCATCTTGGGCCATCTTGGATGCTCTAACTCGTCGCGACTGCCCTCCTCCAGACCCAGGGATGGAGGGGGGGAGGGGGAGACGTAAGCATCTCCCCGAAGAGGAATGAGGAGGTCGGAAGAGCTCCTTACACCGCCTACGCCCAAAGAGCTGATGAGACTCTGATCCTGAATCTTCGATTTTTTCGATGTTCGAGGAAATTCGAGGAGGCACACCTCCATCCGCCGCTCCCGAAGGCCGGGCTGCAGCAGCAGCACACTGCGGGCCTCAACGCCGCCGCGCAGGACCTCAGGGGGGCGGGGGAGGAGGAGGAGACGGAGGAGGACGAGGAGGAGGAGGACGTGGAGGAGGAGGAGAAGGAGGAGGAGGAGGAGGAAGAGGAGGAGGAGCATGACGATGATGATGATGATGCTGATGATGATGATGATGATGATGATGATGATGATGATGATGATGATGATGCTGATGCTGATGCTGATGCTGATGATGCTGATGCTGATGATGATGATGATGATGTTGCTGCTGATGCTGGTGATGATGATGAGGAGGAGGCGGGAGGTAAGAGGTATTTTTGTTTGTTGAGTTTTCAGTTGAAATAAATGATCATTGTTGCATTGTTGATCCCCCCGGTGCCCATTGTGATGTTTTCCAAGGTCAGTACTCCCCCTGGGGCTCGCACCCTGTTTTTTACAAGGGAAGGTCTTCAGGCTCAGAATGCGTTGTTGCCCCCAGAGCACAACGACAATAATGAAAACACCAGCAGCAACCACAACAACAACATCAGCAGCAACAGCAACAACCACATCAACAGCAACAGCACAGCAACAGCAACAGCAACAACACCAACACCAACACGAACACCAACACCAACACCACCAACAACAACAACAACCAACAACAACAGCTGTTTCCGCCTCAAACTTCCTGACAGTGTATTCCGACATCGCTCTCTCGTCTCGCGGGGGATTTCGTCATAATGTATACAGAAATCTCGCTCTCGCGTGGTACTTCCTTGCATTCAATTCAAACGCCGCGCCCTCGACACTCAGGAATCACGCTCTGGCTTTAGTCTTTTCAGGACTTACTTAGGAATCGTGCTGTCGCTCGAGATTTCCATGCGATTAATGCAGGACTCACTTTTCAGCCACTCGCCTGCTCGACTGGGCCGCCTGGGCCCGCCTTTCCGACCCGTCCATTCGGGTCTGCCTTTTCGATTTGACCGTCTGGTTCTGCCACGGGCTTTCTGCTCCAGGCCCCACTCCTGCTGATCTCTCTCGTGCTCCATCCTTCTCCCTCCCCCTTGTCGTCCCTTCGTTCCATCCGACCTCTCTTCCCCTCTCTTAGGGGCTGCGCCAAATACACGCGGCAGGCAAGGGTGATACAATCCAAAGGAAGATACACCCCCAGGGGGGCACGATCGAAGACGAAGAGAGCGGGCATCGAGGGTTTGGGGTTTACGTGTTGCATACACGCGAGCAGATCAGAGCGAACAGTCTTAACGCGAATGTTCTTATTGACTTTTCATTCAGAATAATAATGGTGGATTCTCCCTGCATGGTGACCATTGTGTCTTGTTCAAGTGAAGTGCTCCTCCCTGGGCTCGCACGGTTTCTTACAAGGGAAAATGGGATCCTCAAACCAGGTTGCTAGGCCCCGAAATGCAACAACGGCTTCCGCCTGAAATTTCTTCACAATCTACTAAGAAGTCGCGCTTTCGCGCGGGACCCTCTCACAATTTATGCAGGAGTCGCGCCCTCGCGTGGGATTTCCTCGCATTTTTTTCAATCGCCGCGCCCTCGACGCTCAGGAATCGTGCTCTCGCTTTGGTTTCTCCCGCGATTCACTTGGAAATCGCGCAATCGCTCGAGACCTTCTCGTGATTCATGCAGTACTCACGCTTCAGCAACCCGCCTGCGCAACCTGGTCGCTTGGTCCGCCTTCCTGACCCGCCCGTTCGGGTCTACCCGCCCAATGAGCCCGCCTGGTGTTGCCACGTGTTTTCGACTCCCAGCCCCCCTTCTGCTAATCCCGTGGTCCATCCTTTTGCTTCCCCCTTGTCCCTTCCTTCCATCCGTCCTCTCTTCCCCTGTTTTAGGGGCTACAAAAAATACACGCGGCAGGTAAGGAAGATATACCCCCAGGGGGTACGGTCGAAGACGAAGAGGGCGGGTATCGAGGTTTTGGGGTTTACGTGTTGACTGGCACGCGAGCAGGTAAGAGCGAACAGTCTTGAAATGATGGTTGAAGTCTCATCTTCAAAGAATATGTACTGTTGATCCCACCTGCCTGGTGACCAGTGTGTTTTTCAATTCAAGTGCTCCTCCCTGGTCTCGCACCTTGTTTTCTTATAAGGGAAAGTGTGGGGGGTCACCAAACTGTGCCCCCTCCGACGTCATGTTTTTTCATGCCGTCGACCCCCAGAATTCTTGACCCATTCCCCAGGACGGGTTTTCATCCTGAGTCATTTTTGACGGCCCCGTGACCCAGTAAGGGCCACCAGAGGCCGATCATCAAGGAACCTGCACGTCGCGATTTTTCATGACCCGAGGGGGTTTGGGAATTTCAGAACCTCCCTCCCTCACTCCCTCCTTCCGCCTCCGCCTCCTCTTCCCAACAGCGGTGGCGACTTCGACGACGAGGACGAGGACGACGCTGACGACGACGATGACGACGAACACGACGGCGACGACGACGACAACGACGACGACGAAATGGAGGAGGAGGAGGACGGCGACGGCGACGACGACGACGGCGACGGCGGCGGCGGCGGCCGCCCGGGGCGGCCCGAGGAGGCGGACCGGTCGAGGCGGTCGGGCACCCTCGCGGAGCGGCAGGGCGGAGAGACGAGCGTGGACGCTGCCGCTGGCGTCCTTTCTGGCGCCTCCGAGCGGCTGAGCGACGAGGAGACGAAGCTCATCGCGGACCATCGTCGTCGTCGTCGTCATCGTCGTCATCGTCGTGGTGGTGGTCGTCGCCGCCGCCGCCGTGGCTTTCGCCGTCGCCGTCGCCGTCGCCGTCGCTGTGGTCGCTGGTGCCGTTGTCGCCGTCGTCAGTGGTGGTGGTGGTTGTCGTTGTGGTCGTGGTTGTTGCCGTCGTCGTCGTCGTCGTCGTCGTCGTCGTCGTCGTCATGGTCGTCGTCGTGGTCGTCGTCGTGGTCGTCCTCGTCGTTGTCGTCGGAGTAAATAGTCATTGGGATCATGATGCTGATGATGATGATGACGACGACGACGAGGAGGTGGGGCATGAGGAGGATGAGGAGGATGAGGAGGATGAGGGCGAGGAGGGGGGGAGGAATACACTCAGAGAGGAGGGAGGAGTAGAAGGAGGAGGAAGAGGACGGGAAAGAGAGCGAGGAGGCAAATGATGTGGATAAGAAAGATGGACGGCAGTAGGATCATAATGAGGGAGGGTAAGGAACAACGAACGACGACGGCGACTACGACGACGAACCCGATGATGATTATCATGCTGCTGATGATGATGATGACGATGCTGCTGCTGCTGCTGATGATGATGATGATGATGATGCTGATGGTAATGATGATGATGACGATGATGATGGTGATGATGCTGCTGATGCTGATGATGATGCGGCTGATGCTACTGATGATGCTATGATGATGCTGCTGATGTTGATGATGATCATTGTGGTGGTAATGATGCTGTTGCTGCTGCTGATGATTTTTTTATTTTTTTAAAAAATTACAAGATTGATAACGATCACGATAACGATACTAATAATAGTGATAATGCTAATGCTGCTGATGATGATTTCATGCTGGTGCTGATGATGATGGTTGTGATGATGATGCTGATGATGCTGACGATTCTGACCATGATGATCATGATGATGCTGCTGATGATGCTGATGCTGATGATGATGATGCTGATGATGCTGATGCTGATGCTGATGCTGATGCTGATGCTGCTGGTGATGATGATGCTGATGTTGATGGAAGATGAGGAGGAGGAGGAGGAGGAGGAGGAGGAGAAGGAGGAGGAGGACGGGTAGGAGGACGGGTAGGAGGAGGAGGACGATGGTGATGATGATGATGATGACGATGATCTAATTACGGAGGTGGTGATGATGGGTGGTAACGATGCGGAGGGGAGCCAATAATGGATGGAGGGAGGGAGGGAGGGGCATGGGGAGGGAGGGAGGGGAGGGATCGAGGAGGAGGAGGATGAGGAGGAGGAGAGCTCCCACAATGGGCACTTCTTGAATCAGTTTGGAAGGGACTTCGGGTTGCCTTCGGTGTGGGGGGCGCGTAGTGCCAGCGGCGCCAGAGTTGTTATGTTGCCTTACGTATTCCCAGGTTCCACCGGCTCTGGGGCATTCGCTCTCGTCCAGAGCTAGGGGAATCGTCGTCGAAGGGGTGCCAGGCTGATGGAAGTCTGGACGATATAGTTTTCTGTAATTTCCCGGGGCGAGCTCTTTCCTGCAAAAATCGTGTGAGCCAGCCAGTTGTCCTGCTGTACGGTATCAGACGAAGGCAGGGCAGGGCAGGACCCTCGAGCAGACATCGAAAATGCCCCCTTCCCTTCATTCGGCGCCAGCTTTTTAACCAGGGTTAACCCTTGGATCTGCTGGTTTTCAGCCCCTAGGTCCAGGTCCCTGGGTAGAACCCTGGCAGAATTCTTGCGATGGCTGTAGCAGTTGGGGTGCTCTCGACCTGCTGTGTTAATCATTCAGAGCACACAGGGGGTACCGGAGGAGATGAGGACCAGTGTAGACCCAGGACGCATCAACAGTGCAACAACGTATCCTCCTTGCCACAATCGCCTCACACTTTCCTACGCGTATTCCTTTTCTCTTCCGCTCTTCCGCCTCCTCCTGTGCGCTTGCCGTCGTTCGGAAGCGGTCGGCTTTCGTTGTGTGTTGTCGCTCTGCAGTGGTTGCTGGAGGCAATGGACCTCTTCACAGCCCCGCAACTCGGCCTGCACTGGTCCAAGCGGACCGGGTGGATGCACGAGGACACGCACAATACACTATGTCCACACGTTCTAGCGACGCCAGATGGGGGCAGGGTACTGTGACGCAGGGATCAGCAAGGGTGTTCGCGGTTCGGTCGGTTCGGTTGCGTCGCAGTCGGTCAGGTTCGGTCGGTTGTTGTGCCGTTGCTGCGTTGCTCCGCCCTTCTAGTTTGCTTGCGGCCTGTCGGTTTCGTTAGGTTTTGGTTTCGTTGATGGTTCGGTCGGTTTCCGGTTTTGCTATCGCCGTGGGAGGCTTTGATGAGAGTGTTCGCCTCCTCGGGGGAGGGACGGGCTGGGGGAGGACAACTGGGCCGCCTTCTACGACGCCGACGTCACGTTCAGCTACGCCACCCACTGCAGCGCCGAGCATGGCCAGCGCCCGAGAAGCCAGCGCCGATCATGCACGCATGCATGTACACATCTATAAAGACACAGCTATACATGTACACACTTATGCCTATGCGTATGTCTGGTTCTACGTCTACGCGCGTACATACACACATGTATGCATACGCACACACATCTCCATTTGTGTGTATATACACTGGTTGTGAATGCTTTGTTGGCTCGTCGCGCAATCCCACCAGCCCACTCAGAAACGATGCCCACACGAGTTGCCTGGAACAGGGAATAGTGGGAACAATCAGTGGAACAAAGGGGGGTCATCCGTCAAACCGACACTCGGGATCAACCCGAGCAGACCCAGGAGACAGCCATAAATGCCTTCGTGAACCTTTCGATCTGAGAGCCTCTTGGGTCTGTCCTGGAGGCCTTTTGGGCTCTCTTGGGGCCCCTTTGATTTTTGTGACCATGTCGGGGTCATATTGAAGCCTCAAAAGCTAGCCGGAAGTGACAAAGCGAGATTGCGACATCATTAATTCAGTGCTTGGACGGCTTTTGGCCTTTCGGGGGCGTCCTTGGCAGGCTCCTGGCCACTTGGAGCCATCCTGGGCCCCCTTTGAGGCATGTTGGATGCTATATTGAGCCATCTCGGGCAATCTTATCGTATTTTGGCGGGCATTTTGGGTCATCTCACGTCCTCTTGTGGCTATCTCGGGCCGAAACGGACTCTCTGACACATTGCGCCCCCCCCTTCCGGTCCCATGGGAGGGGTTTCGGGGCAGGAGTCAAGCTACCAACAGGCAGCAAGCCGTCTCGCTCACTCCAACCCACTTTCCCAACGCATAAGTAGTACCCGAGTCTCAGCATGGGCATGGACTGCCATCAACAACCAATCGGGAACCAATGCAGACGCCAGCCAGTTGCGCGACGCCCGCGAGGTGGGTGCACCGCGCGTGCCATGGCATCCCCATGAATCCCTGACAAATGATCGTGGGGCGTCCGCGCATGGTCAAACATTTTGCCGCAACGTGTCCTTTGGTTTTGTTCCCCACATGCTTAGTGGGGCTATTGTTTTCTTCCGTGCCGCGTCGCACCCGCGTCTTCCTCACCTCCCTCCTCTCCTCTCCTCCTTCCCTTCCTTCCTCCCCTCACCCACGCGCAACACATGCACGGGGTGTGCATGAGACACGCGTCTACACACATCCACACGCATGCACACAATCGCAGACACGCACACACGCAAACACAGCATACAACGCCAGTGCACGCCTGGCGTGTTCAATGCATCATGCACCGAAGACGTGTGCACCACATATTGGGCACCCACATGAGACACACCAGACGCACGCAACACAAAACTGCAAACACATTGATACACACGTCCACATACAGTCGCACACGCATCATACACATACACACGCTCACAAAGCGTGGCAGGCGCGGCTTTTTCGCGACACCGGGAGGGGGTGCGTAGGGGGTGGTCCTTGAGCGGGGCATGGTGCAGGGCACGGCAGGCGTGGCACTTTCTCGACACTAGAGGGGGCGCGCAGGGGGTTGTCCCTAGCGCGGCGTCTATGCAGGCCATGGCGCAGGGCACGGCGGGCGTGGCATTTTCTCGACACCAGAGGGGGTGCGTAGGGTTGGTCCCTGTGGCGTGTATGCGGGCCATGGCGCAGGGCACGGCAGGCGTGGCTCCATCTCGACGACAGAGAGGGTGTGCAGGGGGTGGTCCTTGAGCGCGGCGTCTATGCGAGCCATGGCGCAGGGCACGGCAGGCGTGGCTCTATCTCGACACCAGAGGGGGTGCGCAGGGGGTGGTCCCTGAGCGCGGCGTCTATGCGGGCCATGGCGCAGTGCACGGCAGGCGTGGCGCTTTCGCGACACGAGTGGGAGCGTACATGGGGTTGTCCCTGGGCGCGGCGTCTATGCGGGCCATGGCGAGGCTCTTTCGCGACACCAGACGGGGTGCGCAGGGGGTGGTCCGGGAGCGCGGCCTCAATGCGGGCCATGGCGCAGGGCATGGCCGGCGTGGCACTTCCTCCACAGCAGGAGTGTAAGCATTCCGGCTCGAGTTGAACGCACAACGTATTTTCACTTTTGCGCCGCGCCGCCAGGGTCTCTGCGCTGGTGCCGCGGAGGTTCCCTTTCAACGGGATGTCTCCCAAGTGTGCTATCGTCGAGCTGCCGCCTCCGTGCTTGCAGCTAGAGACTTTCATGGCTAAGAACTGCTTCGAGATCATTCTGGCAGGTTTACGTCTGGTTCGATTGGGCGATCAAGGGAGCGCTCAAGTCAAAGGCGCATTGAAGGTTACTACCGCCAGCTGACAAATTGCTGGCCCGATGCGCTTCTTATCCGGTACGATGAAATGAGTCAAGGAGCGGTCGACGATGACAGGATGGAGTGCTTGGTAATGTGCTTGCAAAGCCCTGCTTCGGGCGGGTTTCCCAGAGGTCCCTTCGGATATGGTTGGGAAGGTGGCGACAGAAGGCGGCTCGACGCCAGCAAAGGTTCGGCGAATCGCTGATGCCAGCATCGCGGGCGCTGGCCCGCAGTCTCCATGCGCTACGTTTGCTGCGCC